AAAAAACCGCTGGAGGGGTAAACGGAAACCACGAAGCTGGTGGGACAAGGAAATTAAACTGGCTATTGAAGAGCGACGACGGGCCTCTAGACTGCACAGAAAAGCAAAGCAAATGGGATATCAGGATGATGAGGTGCAGTTACAGTGGAGCCGGTACCGAGAAAAGAAATTTGAGGTGCAGAAACTAGTACAAGCGAAGATTAAAGCTGCGAGTGAGAAATGGGTATCAGACATACGTAAGAAGGATAAGAGCGCCCCCCAAAAATTCTGGAACCATTTAAAAGCATTGGGAACGACGACTAAAGAGATGCAGACTCAGATACAGGACGGGGACGGTAACGTTCTCATGGGGGACAGCGCATTAGAATACCTACATGGAGTCATAGGAAATACTTTCGGCCAAGCACGCGAGAGGTCGGCTAACTGGACACAGGTGGCAAATAAAAGAGTGGCAGATGAAAAATTTAATATCGAATTTTTGGACTGGAAAAAGGCAGAACACAGTGTTCCCGAAAGTACGGCAACAGGACCGGATGGAATCCCGATAGAGATTATCAATCATTTGGGACCAGCGGGACAGGCGCACTTGTATGGAGCCATCGAGCGCGCTATAAAATCCAAGAGGATTCCTGCGCACTGGCGCGAAAGTAGAATGAGTTTGATCTACAAAGGCAAGGGAGAAAGGGAAAAGGCGAGCTCTTACAGGCCGATTACAGTCACGTCAGTGCTCTATAGATTAGCTATACAAGCCATCAAAGCCGAGTTGTTGAAGTGGGTTGAAAGTAACGGTATTTTGGGGGAACTGCAAAATGGATTTAGGCCGGGTCGACGCTTGGAAGACAATCTTTTCGTCATATCCCAGACCATCGAAATTTCGGCAGCACAGGGCAGACCAACATGGCTACTGTTTCTGGACATAAAGGGTGCCTATGACAACGTGGACAGGGGATTGCTGTGGCATATACTGGAAGAGGAGGGGATTGGGTCGGAATTTGTAGGGCTGCTAAGGGCAATATATGAGGATAACAAGGCACACATTACATGGCAAGGGCGTACATACACAGAGCCCGTGTACATTCGAAGAGGTTTAAAACAGGGGTGCCCTCTTTCGCCATTGCTGTTCACACTGTACATTAGAGGAATGGAAAGACGACTAGAGGAGAGGGGATTGGGCTTTGATTTGTCACACCGAAGCAATGGAGTGCTTGTGGAGCAACGGATTCCGGGATTGATGTACGCAGACGATATAGTGCTGCTGGCGGATAATGCGGGAGAACTTCAAAAACTGGCTGACATTTGTGGTGATGAGGCAACGTACCTAGGCCTACATTTTAACCCACAGAAATCTGGAGTCATGGTGTTCAACGAGGAAGCTCATGTAGCACCAATAAGGATACAACAGGAAGCCATACCATTAGTAAATAAGTACAAATACTTGGGGATCTGGCTTAATGAAGGAAAAGGCTACCTGAATGCTCATGAAGAACACCTCAAACTGAAAGGGAGACGGAATGCAGCAGTAATGAAACATAGAGCACTTTGGGGATACAATAAGTACGAGGTAGTACGTGGCATCTGGAAATGGGTAATGGTGCCGGCGCTCACGTTCTCTAATGCCGTATTATGCTTAAAGTCAGATATCCTATCGGGGCTGGAGGTTAACCAAAAGGCAGTCGGCAGGTTAGCTCTGGGAGCTCACAGTAAGACTACAAACGAGGCTGTACAAGGCGACATGGGTTGGGCTTCATTTGAGGCGAGGGAAGCACAAAGTAAAATACGGTTTGAGGAGCGACTTAGACATTTAGATGAGAAGAACTGGGCAGCCAGAGTGCACAGGTACCTGTACCTGAAAAGTGTGGACAACCAATGGCGGAAGAGAACGCGAAAGCTGGCGACTAAATATAACTTGACCGCGGCAAATAAGCAAAGGGGGCCAGTTAAAAAGCAAGTGAGGGAAACCGAGACGCTCATGTGGAAAGAGAGGATGGAAAAGAATGGATCGCTGGGAATCTACAAGGCAAGCAAACAAGAGATCCGGAAAGAGAACTTTTATGACAACAATAAAGGTAGTGCGTTGCTCTTTGAGGCGCGGGCTGGCTGCTTGAGAACTCTAACTTACAGGAGCAAATATTCGTCACAGGATGAGACATGTGTTGGATGTGGCATAAATAAAGAAACAATCGACCACATAGTCATGGAATGCCAAAATATTCAGCCGGATAGAAATGGGGGGAAAGTCACACTTCCTGAGGCGCTGGGCTTCGCGGTTGATGGAAGCATCAACTGGTCAGCAGTAGGTATTACTAAGCAGCGGCTGGAGTATTGGTGGAGGAAAAGCAGAGAAGTCGATAAAATAACATCCCAGCCAAGAGTAGCGGCTGGGCAAAATTAAAAAGACATCTGAGTTGAGGGACAAAATTTAAACTCGAACTATTAAGGTAGGCTAAATGGCGCATGCCGTCACCCCGATTCAAAGGGGAGGCCTTTAATCATCATCATCATCATCATGAGGGTCTTTCTACTTTGTCTTTAAAATGGCAGCGTCTACTGCGCCGCACAGTAGTGACGTCACTTCAAAAATTATTGGCAGCGTCTTCTGCGCCGCGCAGCGCAGCAGCCTGCCCCACACAAAAGTGGCTTCTGCGCCACACGGAAGTGACGTCACTTAAAAATTATTACTTAAAGTTTATTAAATGTGTAAATTATTCGTGCTTAATGCGTTAAACCTACAAAACTTTTATTGAACAGGTGTTTATTGAGTGAATTAGCTTAGGTTTGTTATTTAAATACATATTACAAGTATTTTGAATACAGGGGGCGCCATGGGCGCTGCGGCTGCGAAAGGTAAACACTGCGAGATAGTAGCCGCCTGCGATGTGTTGACGGTGAAAACTGGTGTGTTGATGGTGAAATCGTGGCCATGGCCTAGGCCACTCCCAAGGAGGACTGGAGTGTCGTCGCTGCTTCATGTGATTGCTGAATGCTTAGTTGAACCTGGTGGTTGGAGCTAGCGCGGCCATCCACCGCGCCGCAGCTTCATCTGAGTGTGTGCGCCATAAAGTTTCTCAGTATGATGTGCGGATTACAGTCGTTGGACGTACTGCATTTTCTAGATTGCAATGCCAAGCGTGGTGTTGTCAAAGGAGAAAGTGTTCTTGCTGCCTAGTTTTGCTTGTCGCGAAGGACAAGGTCGACGATGAAATAAATGCTTTCGCACGGTTCACGTGTGACTGACCGCACGCACATGCATGAAACCCAGTGCGTCGGCGAAGTGTTCATACTATGGATGGAAACAACTTTATTGTAATGTTCTTACGAAGCCTGTGATCTCCGAAGGTCAGAGCTACTGCATTGCCGTCTGTTTTGTCAAGTGCGAACACGTACGGCCGTTCTCATCCGTTGCAACGTGAATGCTCCCGTGCTGTCACAGGCCGCGCGTGTTATTCAGCAAAGCAGACAAGCTGCTTTGTAGTTAGATGGGCTAACGCCGTCGGCACTTGCCGTTGGGCATTGTTTATCAAGTGCTGATCGCCGAGAACATTGCGGTGACACGTCAGTATTTTTAAAGAAAGCGGCCTGCTGGTTACCTCGTCAGGCGATGGTACACTGAGCGACATAAAAAAAGTTGCCGAAGAGTACGTTGCAGTGCACCTTTCTGTCATCAAGACTTTGATAAACCGTGAAAATCAACATTCCCGACACCTATGTCGAAGAAACCAATGCAGCCAGCTGCATTTGCGTTTTTCGTCTCTTTTTGCGTCACGCCGATTAAGAGCAGTAATTCGCAAAACACTATCATAATAAATATAGCCAATCCTGCGAGAGTCATCAAAGATTCAATATTAAAGGGTCTGTGGACGGGACCACCAGCAGCAGCAAGTCAGGCTATGAGGAAGCGCAAATGTTAAAACAATACACGCGTGAACAAAAAAGAAAAAGTAGCGATGGCTGCAATGGGACTTGAACCACCGACCTCACCAGATTTAATGTGCTGCTCTAACAAACCACGTCACAGCTGCCGATAGCTTTCGAGTAGCCGGTTTCGTATTGTTGTCACGCTGGACCTAACTAACATTTTTTGTTTATTTTTAGGTTTGGACGTAACTTTAACGGCTTTTAGCGCAACGTCTAGGCATACCGCTAGACACTCCCGACTATTCAAACGAAGCGCCTAACCATAAAATGCATGGCGTCACTTCCGTGCGGCGCAGCAGCCGTTTTTCTGTGGGGGTGGCTCACGGAGGAAGGAGGCTGGCTCGTGCGCGGCGCAGCAGTCTCTGCCCTTTGAAATTGGCAATTTTGGCGTTTGCTGGTTTCATAGGCTATGCCTTGTATCAAAGGGGTTACCTGCTGAATGAGCGCAAAATGTCTGTTATCTATAACAACGGCATTTACGTAGGGTGAATTGTAATTACGTTTACGCCTTTTTAAAACTTTTTTGTTGCATATGAGCTCCAAAAACGTAAAAACCTATTTGAAGACACCCCTACTTAAGTAGCGCCACTACCATAGTTGCGACGACGGCCACTTTCCAAGTGACCGCCGATAATCCGGCAGGCAAAAGAAATCTAGGAGGCTATGCCAGTGTTTATGCAACTCCTCCTAGATTTCTTGTGCCTGCCGGATTATCGGCGGTCACTTGGGAAGCGGTGGTCGTCAGAACTACGGTGGTGGCGCCACTCAGGTAGGGATGTCTTCAAATAAGTTTTCAAGTTTTTTGGAGCTTATATGCAACAAAAAGAACGTTAAAATTTTTTTAAAGTGCAAACGTAATTATGATTAACCTTACGTAAGCGACAGCGTGATTCAGCAAGTAATTTTTTTAATACAAAGCATCTTCTGAAATTAGTAACAAACGCCGGAATTGCCGAACTCAAAGGCCAAATACAAAGACCCTTACTCCTACGTAGGCAGCGCCGCTTTAAATGACCGGCGTTTCGCGTTCATCCGGCAGGCACAGAAAATCTAGGAGGCGTTGGTTTAGGCAACGCGTTGCTGGTGGCAGCTGACAAGTTGTAGTATCTGTGACCTGTACTGCTGCATATCGTGCTGTTGAAACGTTGCCGTGGGAGCAAAACAGCAAGATAAGCTTTCACACCGCCTGATGACGCGCCAGCGTGCACCGAACGCCCCCCGATGCGCAGTTAATATTGCACGGGAATGCTCATCCACACCACGTGAGATTGCTGTCGTCGTATCTTGCTTTGCGAGCGTGAGCTAAGACCTGAGTCACGACAGATATATATGTTTACATCTGTGTGTGCTCCCATCACTCTTATCGTTATCTTCGTTGCCGTGGCCTGGACCAACCTAGTCTAGAAACGTTGGCCTGGACCGCATTGACGAGTGGCAGATACGCTCGGCGGGCAGTCAACACCGATGTATAGTCTGCGACACGCCTTACCGCAGTTGCTACGGTGTCCAGAGTCGGAAGCACTTGTGACAGAACCGAGGGTCGAAATGGACGGCGATGGCTTCGGTGAGTCACCGCTGCTAAAGGCTGCTCACGTCGACGACCGCGTCCAGTACATCCGTGAGTTCCTCGCCTCCAAAGGCGTCGACTTCGACAGACCCTGCAGCTACGACAGTGACGGCGATTGCTGGCTGTCGACTGCATTACCCCCGTGGAACAAGATCCTCTCGGCGGTGTGCCTCGAGCTAATCGAGATTCGACCGGCGGTCCTGAGTTTGCGTTCCATCGACATGAGATCCAAAGGTGACACAAGTGCGGACTCGCTGAAGTGCGGCGCATACCTCTTCATGTGGCTGCCCCAACAGCACGCCTGCGTGCAGTCGATATGCCTGGTAGAAAGTCTGCTGTTCAAGAAGCTCACGGTCGCGCTCAAAGTGGCGCTCGCGTCGAGCGCGCGCTTGCGTCATCTCACTCTCAAGGGCGGCTACTCAACGCCGTTCAGCGAACGAGAGCTGGCCGACGGCATGGCTACGCTGAGGGAGCTAGAGACCTTCGAGTTCCGCAAACTGGACATCACTTCCCGCGACCTAGCGCACAATATCGCCGCTCTCCTGCGGGAGAACGGGAGGCACCTCGTCAATCTGTGGTTCGAGCGCAACGAAATCTCGCAGAACAACACAAATGTCATTCTCAAAGCGGTCCTCGGGTGTCACGCTCTCTCCGAACTCTCGTTCGACCACAACTACCTGAACAAACGCAATGTCAGAACCCTGGCCAAGGTCGTATGCACCCTCCCGAGCCTGAAAAAGCTCACCCTTCGCTACAGCATCTCTGAGTGTGGACCCTTTGACCCCGTTGCAAAGGCCTTGGAGAGCAACACATCTCTCGAAGAGCTGAGCTTGAAAGCCTGCCAGATGCAGTTTGAACTGCTCTTTGAGGCCCTGCAGACCAACACGACATTAAAGGTGCTGGACCTGGACTCTTGCACAATGACCTTCGGTGAAGTGCAGCACCTTGCCAGAGCCCTGACATTCAACAAAGGCCTGCGGACGTTACTGCTGCCGCACTGCAGTCTGAAAGATGCGGGTGTCATGGAACTTGCCAGTGCGATGGCTAAAAACGACACGCTCGAAAAACTGGACGTGTCACATAACTGGTGTGGTGCTCGAGCTGTCATGTCTTTCTGCGATTCTCTGAAGAATAATCGCATCCTTAGGAGCATCAGCTTTGGACTAACTGCAGCATCTAATCAGGAGAGGTACGTAACACATGCAGGAGCTGCATTTGCTGGCGAAACAAGCTGACTGCTGTTTTGTTCTGTATCTGTAGTCTAACTTATTTCACTTGTGTACACTTAACAAATCTAAAGTGATTAATGTACTTGACTTCATTACACTTCATTCATAAAGAAGCCGCTCTGACCAGAATTTATGATAGTTTGGCTGCCGACTTGAAAAACGCTGCTTTGGTTCCAGCCATGGCAGTCGCATTTTGATGGAAGCAACATGGTGAGGCGTGCCATTCCGTGAGGTGTCGGTGCACGTTAAAAAGAGACTAAGTGGCTAGTTGGTGCGGCATTGTAAAGTGGTTGCACTGAGTGATATGCATTGTAAAGTGGTTGCTCTGTGTGAAATGCACAAATGACTGACTGAAAGTAGGACAAGACGAGAGGTGTGCAATCTCGTCCTGGCCTATTTTCCATCGCCCGTTTGTGCATTTCGCTCAGCGCAACTACATTATAAGATACTGAAATAATTTATAGCCAGTCACACCGCCTTTCATAGCCCAAGCTGCTTTTTGTACGTCAAGCCCTCTGATCCAGCCAACTAATGAATCATTGTTATGCAACAGCACAAGACAGAGTTTAATAAAACACAGAATAGAAAAAAAATGTGCCAATAGTTCATAATTTGCTACACCAAAGAATTTGACATATTTCATGTATAAGCACACTGTTTATTTGCTTTCTTACCAAACACTGTTATTACATGGCTCCTGAACAAATCGCAGCTAGCATTTGAGGTTTTAACTGTTTTAACCTACAGTTGGCATAGCTCCACTTTGTCCACTCATCTCATCATTTAGCAAACTTTTGTTCCACACTTATGTGCTTATTGTGGTGCTTATGAGGACTTCCCATTTTACCACAACTCACTGTATCTTTTAAGACGCGGCAAACTAAACAAACTACATGATGTGACTTCTGTTGTCTGTGCATGGCAGCCAAGTGAGACAACAATGAAAGAACCGTAGCGCCACATCTTGGGCCATCAATAGCTGCACTGAAGGGCGAGAAGTTCTCAAACAGGGCCAGGTGACTCGAATTGCATGAGGGGCATTCGAATCCTTTAATTAAAGGATTCGAATGCCCCTCATGCAATTCGATGCTTGAAGGCTAGCGAAAACACTGCATTTAAATGCAGTCTTTTCACTAGCCTTCAAGCATTTTTTCGGCAGAAAACAATTATGGCAAGGTTTTTTATTTGGTGCTTTATTGATGGGAGTCAACTGAATATTGGCCTTTTTATACAAAGCCATCAACTAGTTCTACCAATATTTTATAAAGTGAGACACTGGTTCTGTTTAACAATTTTCCTATATTTTGTGTGCATGTTCATTTTCCTCGTCGTTGATGTATTTGTTCTTTATAATAGTATATTGCTATATTTCAGTTTGCTGTACCTGTTTGAAACAATAGGCCCTGTCATGGTTATGTAGGGATTAGGGCACTTCGCTGCTAAGCCAAAGGTCACTGGTTTGATCCCATCTATAGAGGTTGAATTTCGATGGAAGAGAAATGCTTGAGGCCCATGTACCGTGCGATGGCGGAGCATTTTGCTAAAAACCAAATGGTCTACAGAATCGTATTGGCATGTAAAAACCCACAATTTATTTCGTATCAGGGGACAGAGCATATACGTGGGAAAAGAAAGAGTGACAGGCCTTGGCACTGGCTAAGAACATCGACATTAATTTTGTATGTTTACAAATATATACGCTTCTTGGGAAATGGAAATCACAAAGGGGGGGAGGGGGTATCTGCCGTGTTACCTGCTATGAAGCCATACCAACGAGCTCAGGTTTATAGTCTTTTAAAACAGAAAATTATGATCATTAGCAGGCCCAGTCAGCTGACAGATCTTCTTATGATCTCTTTGTGGCAGTAGATGTGAATGCCTCCCTATCTTTCTGCTTGTTTATTCCTTCCTGTTTTAGACGTGAATGAAAGGTTAAGCAAAAAAAAATGACTATTACGCCAAAAATTGCATAAGGGGCTTGGAAGGCCTTTTTTTGAGTAACTTGTACTTAAGAAAACCAGTTGCTGAAATGGGTTCTAATGTTTGTCTTATTTAAAGGGGCAATTAAGAGAAACAATGACTTGGCCTAGATTGACAAACTGCACTCTGACGGCTCTAATGCCATATGTGTCACTATCATGAGTTCAATATTGGTGGAGAAAATTATGGTTGAACTTTCATTTTTAAATTTCCTGCCGAAATCTCCGTCTGCGACATAAAAACTTTTGAAAGGTATTTTTCATATTTTAATGACATTGGCTGAATTAAATTTTCGGAAGCTTTGTATGCTAAGTCTATGGCACTTACACATGACAATGCACTTCATTTTTATCAATTAGAAGCCACGTAAGATCCAGTAAACATTTTCGAAATCTGCAACGTCGTGGTGTTTGGTGCGGGAATCTAAAGGGGGGCGTCCCCACCCTCATTTACTTTTTTGGCATTTTCTTGCTCGCGCAGTGTTGTCTCGTGGTAAATGTGGTGTTTTTGGGATTGTGAAATTGTACTTAGTGGTACGAGAGATGTTTCGCTCTTTAGTGACCCTTAACAATGTGACGCATAGAGTGTTTCAATGCCTCCAGCTATGTTCATAATGGTTTTGCTTTACAGGTTGGAGCTGTCTCGTCGATTGAGCCAGAAAGAGTGCTATGGCCGCATTGCACTGCCGTGGGTGGATGCTGACCTGACACCCCTGACAATAGCACTGATAGCGGATTCCCAGTCACTCCGAACACTTGACCTCGGTGACCTGAACGAATTCTCCTGCTCTCTCTTGTGCTTACTCTTTGATGCTCTTGCCAGCAACACCATGGTCAGAGTCCTGAAGATGGAAGCAAAGCACTACGATTGTCACCTGGGGCAAGCACTGCGCAATGCGCTGATCTCTAACCGGTCCATCAAGGACCTGGAATTAGAGGTGGGCATGAGCTCATTTGATGGCTCGTTCATTTGCGATGTATGCAAGGCCCTCCTTGTCAATACAACGGTGGTCAAGCTGACCCTGTTTGCAACTGAAATTGGACTTCGCGCTTCCAAGTTGTTTGCCCAGATGCTCAGACAGAACAGAACCCTGACATCGATTACAGTTTACTCTAAGCATTTTGAAACAAAGCGAGTAGAGATGATATCTCGGGGACTCGCTGAGAACAATGTTGTGACTTCTTTCGTGTCCACGTCCTTGCCAAGAAATCGTGCCACGCTCCGTATTCGGGAGGCGATCGTACGAAACGTCGGCTTGCTTAACCTGGCGGCAAAGTTTGTGATGCGGATAACGCTGACGAAACGCTCCGCCCAGGCGTTTGAGACTCTCCGTGTAGGTCCTTCATTCGTGTTGCAGCTTTCCGAGGTCACTGGAATGTCTGAGCAAGAAGCCTTGGCAGCCGTTGAGGCAGCGGACAGATACATACATTCACACTACCTCTACCTCACAGGGGTAGTGAAGTTTTCGGTAAAGTGCCATCCGAGCACACAAACCCAGGTGGACGCCCTGAACGATTATTGCTGGCAAGCAATTGCACAGTTCCTCAGAGTTTCCGACGTGTGTGATGAACGATAATCTCTGTGTTTCTTGTGCTTGGTATTTTTATGGTACCCCATATGTACACCATTACTTCTTTGGCCCTAAAGGCTTGCCCACCTTTGCTAAAGCGTTCTCTGGAAAACTTGACATCACAAATGTTTTTGTTTGTTAGAGTGCCAGTTCCTCAATATAACCAGATTGCTTGAGAAACAGTGCTGCTATACGAGTAGAACAGTTGCATTTTGAGTTATTTGTACAAATGAGACACATGTCTCATTTGTGTAACTTTCTTAGCTGCTCAGATTGGAGAAAGCTAGCTGGGCTTATAAGCTTTGTTTCTAAATGTAACATTTTTTTTAATTTATGAGCACTTTAATTTCAGAGTACCTGAAAAATTTCTTTTATAAAATGTAACATTTTTTTTTTATTTATAAGCACTATAATTTGAGTACCTGAAAAATTTCTTTTAGAAACTGTAATATATGTTTTATTACGGACACTAACTAATCATGCCATCGTGCCTTCACTTTTGTCTGGTCCGTAGTACTTGCCAATAAATGTTCCAAAAAGCTGTTGTGTGTTTTTTTCTATGACACGGCCTCTGTGGTTTGGCAGTGACAACACTTGGGCTGTTGCCAAATGTCATTTCAGTGTCCTATCTTAGTTGTGACAGCAACATTGGAAAGAGGATTATGGTGGAAAAATAAAAACACGCATTCACCCGCTCAATTAACTGTTCTTTCATACATGAGGTATGATCTTGTCATACATGGGGTATGATCTCGCACAATCCAGAGAAAAGAAGAACGGGAAATTTTAGAGCTCATTTTTCTTTCACAATATTGATTGGAACTAGTAACCTCTGACTAATTATTAATCGAGAAAAGTAACTCTAGAAAGAGGCATCCTGGCGCTTGACCATCAGTCTTGGACATGAAATGTCGGTTAAAATGTTTGTAAATGACTAGAGTTGCTTGTTATTGATCATTGCTGTGTGACAGGAACTTGGAAATAATTGTTGCTGTTGAATAAGCACACTAGGATCGAGTCTTGGAGGTGCAGTGCTGTTCTGCTTATACTCGCGTTTTCTTATGAATACATCTAGTTCACTATAGTTATGAATCTCTACATGTTGGGCTGATAGTACCAGGAAAAGGGGCTCTACGGGAGCTGCCAGAAGAGCGAGCCCCATAGCTTCACGGCGAGTTATTTTCCAAAGTTTGCTCATTCCTCCATAAATCGTAATACGTGCTGGCCTGCCAGCTGGTTTGCTGTGTCAATTGGCTGGGTGCGCACAACCAGGGGAAAAAAAAACATTGAAGTCCTGTCAACGCTGTTAAAAACAGTGAACATTGTGGGCACGAGAGGAACAAGGAATAGCGCGTGGCATGTGAGGTGGCTGTTCGCACTGCTGTTCATCTCCAGGCGTATTAGTCCTTTAAACCCGGTTTTCTATGAAAGAAGTCTTGGGGGTTTACATTGGTGCAGAAAGTCGACCAGGTTTCAAGGAAGACCATATAACTTGGAGGAGGGAAAAACTCCATGCCATGGAACGCCTGCGAAACACGAGAGCAGCAAGACGGCGACACAACACCAAGATAATCAATGCAGTTGATGAGCCTCTAGCCTCCAATGAGTTTGGCCTGGCGGAGCTTCGCAGCATTCTTCGGTGCACGGAGAAAAGGAAGAAACACCGCATGGTTTCCCTCATTGTGCACAACTCTGACAGCATTATGGAATTTGATGATAACAAAATGGTGTGTCGTATGCTATGGTACTTCCGGTTCGAGGCATATCCCTTCGCCGCTTCAATGTGCCTGCTGCAGAGTGCAATGAAGAAGGAGACACGTGCAATTCTGCGACGCGTTTGTTGCCCCTTGTGTAGTTATTGTGTTCTAGGATGCTTTTGCGAATAAATACATGATATTTCGCGCATTTGAAAGAACGAAGCGGAAGTGATAATGGGTGAAGCGGAGGAACAATGAGAGGCAGGTTTCGAGCGCATTTATGCTTTAAAACGCGCAGTAATCTTATTCAGAATCACCTCGGTTTTATTTTCTACCACGAATGATGGCTACCTCAAAATCACGTGCACATATGAATACATGCTGTGAAATGTCAACTAGGTTGACTACATAAGTATGCGTACTGGACCCGATAAAGTGCGCCGATACAATATATTTACATAGCCTATATTCTGCATCCCCTACTGCCTGTTAAGCTTAAGGAAACAACCGAGCGCATGAAAGCTATGCCCATGGCGCAAAACTAAAGATATCGCAGGACGTAAAACGATCGAACTCTCTTTAGAAGCAAAGATTTGCATGCATGGTATGACGTCTCTATTGGGTCAGACTTGTTTTGATTTTACAAATATATGTTGAGCATGCAATGAAACGCCGCAATGTTTGAGTGTGTCAGGATATGGCATCTCCAATAAAGGGAGATTGAGGGGGGGAAAAAAGCCACAAAACTGCGAGAACATTTGATTTTTAGAATGAGACACTTTACTGCGGCCATTCACTAAGTTCTACAAGTGAGCAGCATGAAAACAAATGGATGTTTCATGATGGGTGGGCAGAAAAAAATTTCTAAGCGAGAAAACGCGCGAGAACACCCTTCGCTGCAACGTGCATGTGTCCGGAGGTGCATGCTGTTTGAATAAGAAATGGCCACTCGTACCATTATAACTATCTCGTAGTGACTGAATTCATTTATTCATCTGAGCGTCATAGCACTCCCACGTTTAAAGCAGCAATTTGCGAGGAAAGGCCTCCACAGGCGCTAAGTGGAACACTCCGAAAGCGACGGCACTGGCAAGAATGCCCGTCGGGCGGCACAGCATCTCGAACCGGAAGTAGATGCAGACGAGCGCCGTAGCCCACAATTCTTTGCGTAGGCCACTATTTCGCTATCATCCATGGAGGAAGGAAACAACTTCTATCCGCCTTTTCTTGAAGGCAATCTTCATAGGCGGTTTTTAAATGACCACAAGCAGTGCAAATATTGCAGCGCCTACACTCAGTAAGAACGTGGTAAACCAATACCTTGAAAATAACCAAAAATTAATAAGAAAATTGAGACGATGTCAATCTTAGAGGCCATAGTTATGTCGATTGCACGTCGTACCGCTGTAAACACGCGCACCCTTCGACCTATAAACTGAAACGTAGTCATTATTTCAGTATTTCGAACCAAAGATGCGACGACGACGTCCTTGCGGTTGAAATTTTATTATAGCTGCCCTGTGACCCAACGCCATCCGAAGCCTACTGCCATTTTACGATACGCGAGAAAGTAAACAAACTTGCAATCACTTTGCAGCTTGCTTGTAGCGTTCGCATGTGTTAGCATGTGTAGCCGTTGCCGTAGTAGTGCAGATTTTGTGCCGCTTAAACAACAGTGAAAAAAAATCTACCCTGCTTGGCGCACGCCGGTCGTAGAATCGACGGCGCGTCAACATTCCGGCTGCCGCATCGGACAGAATGTCGTCCTCTCCGATTATGTTTTCTTCCGTGTCGTTCATCGATGGTCCGTTTCGTAAGTTTCTGTCGGCGACAGCCAAGCCGTGCACGTCCTCACCACCATCCGAAGATTGCTGGCTCTGCAAAGAAGTCAACCACTGGAACTCCGCCCTGGCCTCTCTCTGGCTCGAACTGATAGAGGAAGAGCCCGGACGCTTGTGCCTGCGCACTTCGCGCGACACTGAACCCTACGCGGACATCTACGCCAACTCCGTCGACTGCAACACGGCGCTTCTTCTGGCGTGCCTTGTGCGCCAGCACGCGTGCATCAAGAGGCTCAGCATTTGCCACGGCGCGTTCGATTGCCGGACCGTCTCTACGTCCGAAGTACTGGAGCTGGGTCCGGGTTGCGCCGTCGAGTACATCGAGATTTCGGGAGACGCGGCTCGTTTTTGGACATTACTGCTAGACGTTGTCGGGGACGTATCAACTCTAAGGAGCCTGCGCATCGAAGACTTCGTCCTCGACGACGCCTCTACGTCGCGACTCGTGAAGCTCGTTGAGGCGAATAGGGAAAGCCTGCGAGCAGTCTCGTTCTCCGCGCACGATGCGGCCCCCGAGATACCGGTGGAGTTGGTTTGCTCCCTCCGCCGGTGCGAAGCCCTGACCGAGCTGTCGCTATTCGGACAGCCGACTCTGAATGCCGCCACAGCACTGGAACGAGTTATGCAGTCGACTGAATCTCTCCAGAAGCTATCTGTTCAAGACAATACACAAGACCAACGCATCTTAAGTGCGCTATGCAATAGCTTGAGTGCAAGCTTCTCTCTCACGGAGCTGCACTTCGAATGTGCCAGCCTAAACTTCGGACAGCTGCTTCAACTGCTCAAGTGCAATGGCACACTCGAGTCTCTGATTCTGAGTGGCGACAAGAAGAGACCAATGTCCTTGGAAAAGCACCATGGCATGCCGTTGAACGCACTTCTGGTGCACAATGCTGGACTTCGCAGCTTGGAGGTACGTCATTGCACCTGGACCAGTTTTGCTGCTGAAGAAGTCGCTGCTGGATTGGCACGCAACGGTTCCCTGGAGCGCTTCGATGTATCTCAGTGTATCGTCAACTTTGGCGTAGTGCTGACACTATGCAGCGCACTTGAAACCAATGATACCTTGAAGATCCTGGCGTTTCCCTGCGACGATAACTTCGTGCATGAGCAGTAAGTACAAAAATTGAATGACATTGTTGCATTGCTAAGGTATTTTGAAACAAATAAAACTGTGCAGGGGATGAAACAATAACAAAAGAAGTTGACAGTGTTATGTTTAGAGTAATAATAAAAGAAATGGTCAGTGTTCTATTCAGAGTAATAGAAGACTTCCTGCACAGTTATCTTTCAGTCTGAATGTTGCACCAACTAGCTCCCCAAAGCACTTCTGTACAGGGTTAGCGTAAACTGCCGGCATTGTAGCGACTTAAGGTAATAGCAACAAACAACTTGGACTAGCTTGGCAAATTTCGCCATAACTGACCGACTAGTGGCTGCTAGAATGAAAGGAGGACAATGGATGAACAGACAATGCAGCTATGGTTTCACTACATTGTTGGCTTCAATAGGTTGTGCCCAACAAAAAACTAGCCCTTTGATCCATCCCCTTTATTTTGTTCTTTCATAGTGAAAGTCTTGATATATTTTAGGTAGCATGTTAGATATGTTGGTCAGTTGCCAGCTCACAAAAAGAGTATGTGTTACACCTTGCCAACTGGCAGTAAAGGAGTATTCTATACTGATCCCCATGGCTAAAAGTGGCTCTGGCTAACACTCCCAGGATGTACGTGCAGTAATCCCCAACGGAGTGGATGGGGAACGACTGCTGCCACAGCTCATTTGACAGAGCATCGGATGTGTCATTTGGAGGTTTTAATATTGATGCTGGCCAACAGCAAGTTTTTTTGGTAATTAATTTGCATTTGTTTCGTAATCACTACTCTACATTTAAAAAGGTACTGGTACAAAATTTTGGCCTCGCATTTTTGGGCTGCAATGTGTTGCTGGGGGCCTAATAATCATAACACGGCACATTGTTGCAGAACACGACACATAATGACAGGCTCCTTATTACCTGCGATTCTCAGTTTTTGTGTGAGAGAGCTCCAAAAACTACAAGCTGCCAAGTGCAGCTATCACCCCTTATACTCAGACACAGTTTTAGAATTCTGCAGCATTTCTCTTTCAAAGGCAGATTCATACAAGGCTGACTCAGTCGGCATGCACTCTGTACTGATGTCATAAGCCGGGACCCCGCCTTTGTGGAGCATGTGTAGGCGATCAGCTGGCACGCTTCGGTCATCTGGGCTGGCCTCTCAGGAATTCTTAACGCTTTACTGCGTGGTGTCGCTAATTCGCAACATACTGAAAAACTTCAATCATGCGAGTCACGGAAGGCGTGTGCCACCTTTAGTGCCAGCTGTCAAGTACTCACGGGGAATATAGCTTTCAGCATGAAAAATCTTGCGCTATCTCATGTAAGGTATTCTATGCTAGAACCAATTGTTGTGTAGCTAATCGCAGAGAGCGCAAATCACGTGTCAGAATGCTAACCTCTTCGTTCTTGCTCTCCAGGCTGATGCAAGCTCTGCCTTCAATAATTGTGTTTATTTGGTCTGTACGCGTTCAAGGTGTGACACACCACATATTGGGTAGTTCTGAAGTACCTTTTTTGTTGCAAGGTGCTTGCTTCTGCGGCATGCGGAGAATTCACGACATACATAAGAGTATGCATTAAAGGTGCACTTTAGATAAATTTGACTGTGGAATTCTTTAAGGTTGCTATTTAAACCTGGAAAATGACAACAATTTTTATTTTCTTCGGCAGTTTCATCATTCAGGCACTAAAGGGTTCTGTTGTATTCGACTTAGCGAGTGCAACAGTTAGGATGTCAGCGAACAGAACAGTGGCACACTTCTGCATAGTCTGCATCAAGAGGTCTTTTGAAACAAAAAATGTAAAAGCAGTGTTGCCAAACGCAAAACTCAATGCATGCGCTGCTTCCATGGATTCGCGAGCAGCCGTTGAAAAGTAGTCTGCTGCCACAAGCACAGCAAAATGAAAATGGTGGCTATGATGGCATCATGACTTGTACCGACGTTGGGAAAGGAGGGGGGTCACTGCCGAGTCGCTTTCAAAGGTGTCATTGCAGTGAGGTGCGGCTTGTAGTGCTGGTTCATGCATGCAAACTTCTAAAATTATTAAAATATCTCCCAAACGATATGCACCATTGATATTTTGCAGATGATATATGCATGTTCATAGAAATCGATCCCACAGACTATCTCCCCTGCAAAATGTTTTGTCAGTACCCTTTTAAAAGCCGAAAAATGTATCTCCCCATTTCATTGGCCTCATTGTCTATTTGATTCATTATGAAGTGGCTGCTATTGTGTCTGTGTCATTCAAATTACTAGGCTGTCTCATTCCGATTACCTTTGAGGCATTACACAAATTATTGTAGATATTTTTGGCAATAAACAATCCTTACCTCCTTTCATGAAATTAGTTGGAACGTAATTAAATGCCTTATTCTAGAGAAGTTTTCACGATAGCAGTTAGCAAAACAAGGATGCCAAAACATCCCTGACCTGACCTTTCAGACAGATACAGAAACTTTGTAGCTGGCCGTTCTTTTTGTATCACTGAAGCTGTTGTAGTTCTTGGCCATAGGACAGATAAGTGTCTTCACGTCATGCTCTGGTTCCCAGATACACCCATAGATGACACAACTATTCTCCACTGATGACACAACTCTCTACTTACTAACCTCTCACCCGCGCTGGAATCCATACAAAATCGTGCGGCTAGGTTTGTTCTTTACGACTATTCTTATCATACCAGTGTCACCAAACTCTAATCATGTCTTCGTCTTCAAACCCTTGAGCAGTGCCGCAAAACTGCCAGATTATGTCTTTTCCTTAAGTTCTATTTACCTTTACGCCAACAGAATAATATCGAATCCTTGCATCGCTCTTCATCTTGTCATGACCACCCTAAAGCAGTTTTTCCCCCAGCAGTTTGCACTACCACCCACATAAAGTCATTTTTCGTTCAAACTGCAAAAGACTGGAACCGTCTTCCTGCCGACATGGTGCACCACTCCAGTCATACATCCTTCAAGGCATCTATAGAAACCATCATGTAATAGTTATACCCACCTCTCATGTAATACCCCTCATGGGGCGTTTGAGGTACTAATAAATAAATAAATAAACTGCCTTGTTTGTAGTGAAGTCCCTAAAAAACGGAAGTAGTGCTGAGTGTCCCCTTTTATTTCTGCCTCCTCTCTCAACAGCTGCAGCAAAGTCTCTAGAGTGTCCAGCAGGAAAGGATGGACACAGGCATACCCTCTTCCGGCACATAGGGTAGGGTAAGCCAGTGTCGTCGTGGAAGCAAAAAAAAAAAAAAAAAAAAGCGCTACCTAGGACAGACAAGATGAAGCTTGCACTACCAAGGCTACCAAGCGTCGAGGAGAGGAGAAGCCTGCACACTGAAAGGAACGGCTCTACTTTAGTTATTTCTAGGGACTTTAGTTTTCAGGCAAAGTCATAGCTGCGCAGCTAAACGGAAAAGGGAGTCTCGAGCATGAATAGCGTGCAAACACACAGTAGCTGGGTAAGGTGTGGCAAGAACTGCCAGGCATCCTTTTCCATAAATTTCTACAAATAATGTGATCCCAGACACGCCCGAAAAATCACTAGGGAAACACGGAATAACTACAGCTCTGCTGTTTCTGCAGATTTCACACTGGGTGGAACTGAGGAAAGCTTACACAAAAAGGTTCCTTGAGATTCTTTCCTATGATGGCATGCCTATCAGATAACCACTCTTCAAAAAGAAACTGCATAGGCTCTTCAAAATCGTGAAACACTATTATGTATTTGCTTCTTTTTTGCAAGATGCACAGTGACAGTCACGTTTTTAAATGTGTAGATCTTAATAGAGAGCTGCAATAATGCCCTCCCTTCACCAACCTCCACCCTTTTTTTTTCTCTCTTTACAGAGTTGGTTTGTCTGGAAAGCTGGTGGCAGCCAAATGTTTTGCCCGCGTAAGAACAACCTGGCCCGACACATATACTCCAGCCCTCACAGAAGCCTTAAAGGTGCCCGCTCTATGTCCAGAGGAGCTGCACCTCGCTGCCTTTGGCTCTTACAGCAGCTCTTGTCAACGACTGTGCAAAGTCCTCGCTAACAGCACCATCAAGTGCCTCCACGTTAAATTCTCCACGTGCACGGTCAGCGAGGCGGAAGCATTGCGCGAAGCACTAGATGCCAACTCCTCCATCTGGAAGCTTGTAATGGAGGAAGACAGCATATCCGAGGGTAGCTGTGTAGGTGTGGTTGAAGGTCTGTGGGACAACATAACACTGACTGAAATTTCACTCAGTATCCACAGGCTGGACGATTGGATTCTGCGAAGCCTTGGGACGGTGGCTCTTAACCGTGATTTCTTGGAGAAGCTGTGGATAAACTGCATCGATGTAAATTTGAGCTGCTTGGATGACGTATGCAGCCTCGGCCGCTCACTGAGCTCAAATGGCGCGCTAACGGGTTTCTCAATCTTCAATGAGAGACGTCGCACCGAATGTTTATTCGCTGGAATCAACCACCATGTGGATCACAACAGGAAAAAGTGGAACTGTGCCATTCAGTTCGTGCTCGAGCCTTGCGTCAACAAGCGCTGGGCCATTGCATTCGAGTCACTGTTAGAAAAGCCTTGTTTTGTCCAGCGTGTTGCGAGAGCCTCGGGAAAGTCGTCCAAGGATGCCTTGAGAATGATCAGTTCAGCAAAGTGTTTCATTGCGAGAAACTACTTCTTGCTAACTGGAGTCGTGTCACAAGGCATCTCTTGCCACACTCACTTGGAGACTCAGATAGACAGCCTGAACAGTTTCTGCTGGCTTGCTTTGGGAAAATACCTAAGAGTGCTTGATGTGGTCGACGACAGTCACGAAAGCTGGTGCTAAGTACGGCCATGTGATGTCTCAAGGTTTGGAGTGTTCAAGTTTTTGCCAGATCAGCAGGCAGTCTGTATTGATAGCTCTTCTTTCATTAAGGGCCACATGCTCCATATATGAGATATTTGCGTCGGGTACATGAAAATATTCTCATACTAGCCCATGCTACATGAACTGAGATCAGACACTTTGTCAGGGTTACCACGAATTAGCTTCATACACAAGACACCATGGATACAATAGAATATATGTATGGGGAACATAATAGACACTATCCAGGCTGCTTTCCAAATGCACGTGTAAACATAGCAACTATAGCTCACTGCATGCATAAAGTTTGATTGATTGGTTGATTGATACGTTGGGTTTATCGTCCCAAAACTACCATATGATTATGAGAGACGTAGTGGAGGGCTCCGGAAGTTTCGACCACCTGGGGCTTCAACGTGCACCCAAATCTGAGCACACAGACCTACAGCATTTTCGCCTCCATTGAAAATGCAGCCGCCGCAGCTGAGAATTAATCCCGCGACCTGTGTGTTAGCAGCCGAGTACCTTAACCACTAGACCACCTTGGCGGGGCATGCATAAAGCATGCTGCTAAAGTTATTAAATAGGCAGTAACCTGAACGCAATAATTCTTCAATTTATACAAATTTCATGTGAATGTTAATGCAGAAATATTTGAAGTACTGCATCAACACCTAACCTGGGATCGTTTATGCACTAAATGTGGACGAGTGAAGCTACTTTTGGAACATGCTCTGTGGTAGTGCTCTTCGTTGATTTAAAGAGTGCTCACTACGTGGCACGCCACCACTCTGATGGTGGTCCACTCTTGGCACGGGCTCTAGTTTGACAGGAGACCGCTAGAGGGCTGCACCCATGTATAGCGCTTACTGTTCGCGCGCTTCCTTTCTCTTTCGCCGTATATCACTTGGTGCCCTCTGATACTGCCATTCAGCTTCTACTAAAACACTGAAGAAACCAAGGCAGCGGCGTAAGGACTCGCAATGCGGCTGCAGCCCGGCCTCGCCGCGAAGACCCTGTTGTCAGAGTTCGTGAGACCAGAGGGCCAGCGCTGGCAGCAAGCACAAGCCAGCAGCAGCGAGGCGGCGACAGTGGCAGGGGCTTGTGCAGCCAAAGCAGCGCGGGTTCGTTGACAAGCAGAACCTGAGCTGAGGGCTGTGCATATAATGTGTATATGCAATCACACCGCACTTCCTGTCTCACATCTTTGTATGATGATCGAGCGAATGTTCGAAGGATTGACGGTTTATCGCATTTAACCTCCTGAGCAAGCTCGTTCGTTATCATTCACTGTTTTCTTACATGTGATTCAGCGTTTCGCAACTTGTATAACTACGCTGTGAAACACTCAACTGTTTCGTGACAGTTATTCTTTCCACTGGCATTTCCGTCCAGACATTGTGGGTAAATATCGTGGTGGTACATTTTGGAAGGCCTCGTATATTTCGACCCAAGACCTCTGGGAACCTTGAAGAAATGCTCTTCTATTTTGTTTCATGTCTCTGCGGTTCTCTCGGATGTACTCTTTCAGCTGGTAAGCCTCTTGGCAGCAAGTCTGGCTAATTTTATTTCCTTTGGTAGAAGGGCCGCATGAAGGCTCCATTGACTTGCGGATTTTGGCCACTTGGTTTCTGATGGTGTTTTCTGTTCCATTCTAGATGTTGTATATGGAATTTATATTCATCTTGAATGGAAGATTTGTTCTCCTGGCTCTTTTCTTGGGTACACATGAATAGTTTTCTCATTCTTCTCCAAGTGATCGCAGTCGTCAAACTTGCACCTCAAACATCCAAGGCACAGTGAAATTCTCTTTCAGATCAATCACTTCAGAGAAGTCGAAATTGATGGCATCCTACTTTTTTCGTCTAATTTCTCTCGAATGGCTCTGGCTTGAGTTTGCTGCCCAACATAAAATCCTCCTCAGCTCCGGCACTTCATGTCGATGCAGGCAGTGCAAAGGAACAGTGACACGAGACGAGTGCTAACTTCAGTGTGCTTGTTTCCCGCTTGTGTCGTTCCTTTGCGCTACCAGCTTTAACATGAATTTTTACGAACAATCCCAGCTGTCGGTTCTTGTAAGCTCTGTCAGTTATATTTTCTGGATCACAAATTTTTGTGAGAGCCTCCAAACCACGTGTCTTCTCCAACGTATGTTCTCAGCAGAACAGTGAGTGGTTTTTCTAGGAAATGGAAGTGGCCCTTGCACAGTCCTTTCTGATCTAGCATGCACAGCTTTCAAGTCCCTCCACTTTTTGCATGTGGGTATCTCATCACCACTCGCAGGTTGCCAGTAATTGTCGGAGCCTATTAATATTTCAATGGTATTTCTTTTGCTAGGCTGACAAAGGCAAAATCACAACACAACGAAAGCAAAGTGTAATATGCTTACTGGCCCACTCTCAGAAAACGTGTCCTCTTACTGTCCCGACTTCTAAAATGTTATTGCCAACATTCCAGACAAAACCAGCAGATCTCATGCATCGTAGGCACAGAGGTAATGTGAAGCAGCCAGCAAGGAGTAAATTACCCTGTACATAACATGCTTATCATTATTTGTGTGGTAGCAACTGTCATTCATGTTCATAATTTAGTCACGTCGTGCGATACCAATTTTTATATATATCAAGCTAACAAAACTGCCATGAGCGTGATGCCGTAAACCGGGGCTGGGCAAAGATACTTTGAAAACACATCTCAATAAGATTTAAAATCCTCGGCATCAAAGTATTTCAGATACAGATGCTTCTAGATTTATTGTATCTAATACAATACTTTCGAATTATATCTTAAGATACTTTGATACATTTGAAAATTCGCCATTATATATTCGGTCTGTCGAAGCAGTGGAGGCCTACGTTCAAAGGCATTTACTTGAAAATTTCTTAATTCCAACCAGATTTGTTTAACATTAACAAAATATTTGTTTGTGTCTCTCTTGTTCAAAGCATACTAACTTCATTCCGATGCAACTTATTGGGATTTGTTTGTCGGGACTTAATCATGACAGCCCTTCATACACTATGCTGTTAGTGGCTTTTGCATGATGTTCTTGTAATTGATGAACGTTGTTGCTTTACTTGGCTACCAGCCAGTGGATCCTGCCATGATCTCGCAGGAACGATAATAGGAAACCTCCGCATAATGGCGTAAATACTGCTGTGCACTCTTACCTTTGCCGTAATTATATTACCGCTTTTGCAATATTGCATCAACTCGCTATTGTAGAGCAGCAACATTAACGGTAGTAATATCCTTTTTTTTTACACATTGTGCAAGGATGATAACTATAGATTCAGCGGTCACAACTCATTCAGGACATAAAACTGCAATCATTTTTCATATCCTACTTATCTACCGTCAAAAAGCGTTTGTTAGCAACATAATCACTAACATGCAATCTTTTACAATTTCTTCTCCGAGAGAGCTTATGGCGCCCAAAAACGTCTCGGACATATTGTTGTGACACAAAGTTCAGCAGGATATCGCTGCTATTTACAGTGTTATAACTTATAGCTCTGCTTGCCAGCTTATTGTAACAACAAAAAGAAAAGATAAACACTTGACAATAGCATAAAATGGGAAAACTAGAATAGTAAGGTGGTTCTAGATTAAACAATCACAGTAAATTAGGGGTGCAACTAATAGAAAGAATCGTCATACAGCACGTACGATTGCTAGAAAAAATTTGAAACGTTAATTTTGGAGTGCGCTTTCCAACTTGAGGAAGTGCACTTAGCCTTAAAGGAATATCAGTAATGCTGCATAATTCATCATAGCTCATTAACAGACTAAGCACAATATAAAAATATCTTAGCGAAAGCAACATGATGGTATACCATGTTGTTGGTTTTATTAATTTGAGTTTAACCACTTCTTTTGTAAATATTTGGTTCCAGTTACGTGAAACAACCTGTATAAACACGATACAGGTGCACCCCTAAAAGCTATTAGAATAGAGCATGATAGATCGTCAACTCAATGTGAAGGTCAGATAACAGAAAACTCAAAGCTCGTGAAAAATAGCATAAAATTTGCAAAATAGCATAAAAAGGCAGGTGGGGATACTCGTGAAAAAAACCAAGTAGTTGGTATTATGTTATAGCCCTCTTTCTAGCATCTTGATGATTTTTTTAAAAATAATTTTCATCATATAAGTCAATCTCATTGTATGCAAGCCAAGCTCATGTATCGGCAAGACGCAAAGCAGCCCCATTCTTTTATTCCTGATGCTTTGCAACCGTCCACCATGCAAGACAAACTTAGATAATGACACAATAGCCACTTCAGAATTTAAGCTAAAGACTTTGTACACTTTGGATAATCAGCTCAGTGCAGTGGCTATAGACAAGTGTCATTGCACCAACAGAACTAAAGAGAAAAAAAATGTCGAAAAAGAAATGTCAGTTGTGTGCAAGTCTTCATGCACTTGTTTTTGTCGAGATGGCTCGATCGCCATCACTTGACTGCTTCTCTTAGGAATGTGCAGACCTGATTGCCTGTGCATGCCGGACCACTCTGATGGAAAAATAAACATGTAGCTGTCATCGGTTTTATTCAGGGGGCTTTATGGCAGCAGCATCAGCTTGATAAGTAGAGTTCAGCCAATGTCTATTGTTTCTTATGGTGGTGTTTCCCCAGCAGTGTCTTGTATCTCAAAATACACGATGCATTATTAAACGTATCGGAAATACAGATACGGGTGCTCTTTTAAAGAGACGTATTCCTATACTGATGCAAAATACCCAAAGAGTATTTAAGATAAATGTGTATTTAATATACCCACCACTCGCGTAAATGACATGCATGCCGTGACTTTTGTGCTAGCTACCACCTGTCATCTATGTTCGTCATACAGTCGCATCACGCAATACCTATCTTGGTGTATGTCATTCTAGCGAACTTGCTACGAGTGCACCATGAGCGTGCATGTAAATCTCATTGCTCACGATATGGACGTCGCGATTTTCATTTTACGAGCTGTCATCTATGTTCATCATACAAACATGTCATGCAATACCGAATTTAGTGTATATTAAGCAAGCGAACTGGCCGCACATGCACTCTGACCGTGGCATACAAGACATGCTGACATGACACGAATCTCATGGTTTTATTATTAACACCTGCCATTTATGTTCATTACAGTCACGTTATGCAATACCAAATTCGGTGTATTGATCAAGTTAGTGAAATGGCTGTGAGCGTACCGTGAGTGTGGCATGTAAATCATGTTGTACATGACAAGGATATCGTGATGTTCATTTTACCATCCGTCATTCATGCTTGTCATGCAGTCATGTCTCGCAATACCAAGTTTGGTGTATGTCTGCTAGTGCATCATGAGT